TGCGCCACCACTGCCCGGCTCTTAGCACCATTCTTGATAGTGTGTGATTGTGGATGCCTGTGATGTCAGGTCCTCCTGTAAAGGTGCAGCCATTTCCCTTCTATAAATGTTTCAAGGGCCTCAGGGCCTAGCACAACTTCAGAGCTAGAGGTACTATGTAGAATGATGCTGAGACCTTTCCCTCAGGGAGCACCTATCTTGGGGAGGTAGGAATAGGCCTGCAGGAGAACCTGAGACCAACTCCTCCCCAACCTCATTGTGGATGGCTACATAAGGAAAGCAGACTGGGCCATGGATGATGTTGGGTACTGATACTGATAGTGCTTGTTGCCTGAAGTTGGCAGCTGGAGACTACAGGATCCAAGATGGGAACAAGGCTGTTTGTTGTTCTCAGATCTCTGTTGAGGCTTGGACCATATCTCTCTCCTTATGAACCCAGATTCCAGGGAGAGAACAGCTAAATGGAGGAGATAGGTGTGTCCAGGGTGGCCAGTATTGTGGGCTGAACAGCTGGAAGGGTTACTTAGTCATCAAGACCAGGGGAGGAACTCTCATTCAGACTGAGGTAGGGGTTTGGTGATATGGGGCCTGTGTTGCCCACTGACTAAAGTGGGCCATCTGTGCTACAGCCAGTTATTGGTCAGAGTCATGATTCTTTATGGCTGGGCAGAGGCCACATGATATGGCATCACTCAACACTAAAACTCCGGGTCCAGGCCTCAGCCTCTTCAGGAAGAAATCCAAGGGAAGAAAGCCTTATTGATTTGCAGCCCCATTGAAGGTCAGGAGTAATTGGACTAAGGTCTGGGGAAACAGCAGTAATATTCCACAGAGTAGTGCCTTGTATCTGTTCAGTGTTGGGCACCACAGCCAGTGCTTAATGCTCTGCTAGCAGTTCGTTGCAGCTTTGAGATGTGCAGGAAAGCATGGTGAAGGAAGGGCATGTGACCCTAGCATAGTGCTTTGTCTTCCCATTGTGCATTCCCCTTAACCTGCACTTGATGATACCTGTTTCCTAGCCCATGTGTCTGTCCACCCAACAGTCTTATGACCTGCAGAGCCAAAGGTAATAAGTAGTTCAGTGGAGGTCAGCCCTTCCAATAGTGAGGGAAGGAAACTTGGAATAGGGAGGAACCATAGCCTTGTCTCTAACCTGCCCTTCTTGAGTAGGGGCTGGCCAGGATGTGGGCCGCAGCTGTATTTTGGTCTCCATTTCGGGCAAGAATGTCATGTTGGACTGTGGGATGCACATGGGCTACAATGATGACGTGAGTACTTTGGGTGGGTGGTCCAGAGGGCAGCAAGGGACACAATCTACCTTCTAACTATGTTCTATCTAGCCATGTGAATCCTGGGACTTTAGAGAGGGGACAAATGGGGCAAGTGGGCAGCAGGGACATTCCTAGACAGTTATACCCATGATGGGTGGGGGCAGGTGGCCCTGTCACATGGTGCTTAAAAAGTAGGACCCAGCTGAGATGAGCCTCTTGAGGATCCTTGAGGCTGGTCATGATTGGACCCTTTGGGCTTAGCAGCTTGCTACTTGTTCATGAGATTAGCTAGTAGCTTATGAATAGCCAGTAGCAAACTCACTTATGTAAGGGTTTGCTGGGGTCACTCCCTGGGGTGCATCACCCTTGTTTCTTGGAGACTCTGGGTAGCTTGCTGTGTTCCAACTTTTCTCTTGTCTCATCAGAGGCGCTTTCCAGACTTTTCCTACATCACCCAGAGTGGCCGGCTGACTGACTTTCTGGACTGTGTAATCATCAGGTAGGTTTGTCAGGGTTTTGATGTCCTTTCTTTTTTTTTTTTTTTTTTTTGGTTTTTTGAGATAGGGTTTCTCTGTGTAGATTTATTTGTTTATTAGGTATACAGCATGTATGACTGCAGGCCAGAAGAGGGCACCAGATCTCATTACAGATGGTTGTGAGCCACCATGTGGTTGCTGAGAATTGAACTCGACTTCTGGAAGAACAGTCAGTGCTCTTAACCTCTGAGCCATCTCTCCAGCCCTTGATGTCCTTTCTTATTACCCTATTTTAGAGGCTGTGCTAACCAAGCTACATTGTGGCTTATTCTTCAGAGTGGCCATTAAATCCCTCAGAGCCAGGAAGATGATTGTGCCTGTTGGCTGTGCCCTTGAGTGTCATGAATTAAAGCCTAGAAGGTGACCCAGGAAATAGAGACCTAACCAAGGTAGCTAGCGCCAAGATGTGTCCTTCACCTGCCAAGTGTGGGGCCTCTCCAAACTAGATTACCCTGTGAGACCTTTACCCACCAGCACCTGGCCACAGTGATTGCACCCTCTCCCCATTTTACCAGCTAAGTACATCTGGTGTATTCTGCTTGTGCTTCCTCTTCCAGCTTTAACTCTGGTTCTCCAAGCCCTCTTGCTCACTGGCTGTTACTGATGTCCTAGACAGTTCATGGTCTAGCCTCCAGTTGCCACCACCTCAGCGAGGTAGAGCTGAGCAAGGGGAGACATCTTTCTTTCCTCCTTGGCTCCCATTTTCATGTTCTGTCCAGATAGGCTGCCAGCTGTGCCCAGGCCCATACCCTTTCACAGCCCCTGCTGTCACGCCCAGTCTAGTTGGCCGCAGTCTAACTCTAGCACTTCCTTCTCAACACCCACACCGTCACCATTAGCCAGAGTGGTCCTTTAGGCCTAAAGCAGCCCATCTTGGTAAGCTGTGTCCTCAGGCTCTGGTGTTGGTCCCTTCTAGACATGAGTCACTCACTACCTGCCTGCTTTGGGTTGACTAGCCCCACTCTTTCCGGGAAGAGTATTCCCAGGCCTTGCCCTGAGCTGTCTCAATTCTCTCTTGCCTCCATCAGGAAGACTTCCTGACAGATAGTGGCACTTTTCCTAGTATGGTATTTGCTGGCCTGACTTTTACTTCCTCACCAACTTGTCACCGTCTGATTCAGATGGGGTATGTGTATATATATTTGTAGGAGGCCAGAGACAACCTCAGGTGTTATTCCCTTGTGGATTTTTTTGCTTCGTTTTTTTTTTTTGTTTTGTTTTGTTTTTTTTTGTTTGTTTGTTTTTGTTTTTTTGAGACAAGGTTTCTCTGTGTAGTTTTGGGGCCTGTCCTGGATCTTGCTCTGTAGACCAGGCTGGATTTGAACTCACAGATATCCACCTGGCTTTGCCTCCTGATTGCTGGGATAAAAGGTGTGTGCCACCGCCACCCGGCTGCCCTTGTGTTTTTTGAGACAAGATCTCTCACTAGACCTGAGTTCATGAATTAGGCTAGGTTTGCTGGAAAGCAAGCCCCATCTACCTGTCTTTACCTCCCAGCACTGGGAGTATAAGCACACTTGTACCATTATGCCCAGCTTTTTATGTGGGCGCTAGGAATCAAATTCAGATCCTTGTGTTTATGAGGCAGGCACTTTACCAACTGAGCTATCTCCCCACCCTTGGTTATTATTTGTTTTAATTGCCAACACCTGATTTGTTTGTTTTCAAGATGGGGGTCTCGCTAGCTCTGGCTGTCCCAGAACTCACTATATAGACCAGGTTGGCCTCAAACTCAGAGATCTTCCAATTGCTGGGATTAAAGGCGTGCACCACCACTGCCCTGCTGCTTTTTGTTTTTATTTTTGAGATGGTTTCTATGTATAGCGTTGGCTGTCCTAGAACTCCCTCTGTAGACCAGGCTAGCCTCAAACTCACTGAGGTTCTCCTGCCTCTGCCTCTTGAATGCTGGAATTAAAGTTGTGTGCCACCACCACTTGGCTGCTTTTATTGTTTTAAGACAGTCTTGTGTAGCACAGGCTGGATTGAACTCCTAATCTGCCTATACTTCCCAAGTGCTCAGATTACACGTATGTGCCACCATGCCCTAGTCTGATTCAGGTTTAATTACTAATTTTCATATTGTTTTTCTGGGTATCTAGATTGCTCATTTGGGACAACTGTGAATTTTCTGTTTTGTTCATTTTTGACTCTTTCTTACCTATGATAGTGATATACATTAGGTCTCAGTAAATGAGTGGACCATGAGCATAGGTCTGAGAAGTGGGATGGCTGGGAGAGAATGGTCCCAGGCTGACTAGTGTCACATTCCCCCAGCCATTTCCACCTGGACCACTGTGGGGCACTCCCTTACTTCAGTGAAATGGTGGGCTACGATGGGCCTATCTATATGACCCACCCCACTCAGGCCATCTGCCCCATCCTGTTGGAAGACTACCGCAAGATCGCAGTGGACAAGAAGGGCGAGGCAAATTTCTTCACTTCTCAGATGATCAAAGACTGTATGAAGAAGGTGGTGGCCGTTCACCTGCACCAGACGGTTCAGGTCAGGATCCCTGGCCCATTCTGCACATAGTCTGAAAGGCCTTAGGGTTTTGGTCCCAGGCCACCCCATCTCACTCTTTTCTTTAGCTCTGTGGGCGAGTGTCCAGCCACATTTGGCATTTAGGTTGGGAGAATATATGTGTGGTATGTCTGTATGTTTGTGCATATACCTATATAATCAAGGCTTTTTCCCACCTGGCTCTGCCCAAGCTACATTCTATAAGCCAGCCTGCCTTTTCCCCTCCTAAGGAGAGATCTGAGGTATATTGTTGGATAACTTGTTGGATATCTTGGTCTGTCATTTGGTAAGGAGGCAGAGCCAGGACAGCAAGATGAACCAGTCTGGTCAAGTACCCGATACCAGGCTGTGATAATATATAGGTCAAGGAAGGAAGGAATGAAAGATATTAAATAGCCAAGTGACTGGTTAAATTTAGCAAAATTCTCCAGAAATTGTGGATTTGTCTGCTTCTTATTAGAATTTTTATTTTGCTTTAGATGTTGCTGCTACCCATCCTTTTAGTTTTTTAATTTTTTCTTTTTTGAGACGGGGAGTTTCTCTGTGTAACTGCCCTGGCTGTCCTAGAACTCACTCAGTAGACCAGGCTGGCCTCGAACTCACAGTCTGCCTGCTTCTGCCTCCCGCCAAGTGCTGGAATTAAAGGCATGTTTCTATGTGTATGTATGTGATAAAACACCATGACCAAAAGCTACGTGAGAAGAAAAGGGTTTATTTCAAACTTGTGATACTCCTTCCTACATTAGTCTCTTGGGTATTAGGACTATATGTTTCTGTCATACCAGGGTGACCTCCTTATTCTAATCTGCCTACTGAAATACTGCCTTCTCTGGTAACCTTGCTGTAAGGACTGCCTTTGACAGTCCTACAGAAGGTGACTGGAGATACATTGATTTTTCTGTCTACTGCCATGTCTGCCTGGGTGTCTGGTAAGGACAGAGGTTTTACTGGGGCCCACAGACCAGGAACTGGTCCCAATCCTACCCTTCTTTGAGTTTCTCCTTCCAGGAGTTTATATTCTAACTGCTGCCCCAAGTCTTGGCCTCCTAATGATGCCCAGTTGTCCCAACTGCTGACCTTATGGGAGCCAAGCCAGCCTGGGGTTAAGCTAGCTGCATGCTGCTGAGGATTAGGGAGTTTTACCTTTGAAAGAGCTGGCCAGTTGGAATTTTAGAAACTGGATTCTGTTCTTTCACCCATCTATGGTTGCCT